TCCATCATGAGATGGGCCTTTCTGGATGGTTTGATAGAAGCTGGCTACCACTGTGAATGGTGCATCTATTCCCACGTGGAGCCCAGTGGTTTGCTCCTACATTACCAAAGGAGGCACCCTGAGCATTATGTTGACTATACGTACATGGCTACCAAACTCTGGGCTGGGCCAGACCCGTCTCCGCCCTCTCTCATGATGCCAGCTGAAGCCAAAACATACAGGTGCAGGGACTGTGTTTTTGAAGCCTCCTCCATCTGGGACATCACCAATCACTACCAAGCATTCCACCCCTGGGCCATGAATGGTGATGAGTCAGTGCTGCTAGATATCATCAAGGAGAAAGATGCTATGGAGAAGCCCATCCCCCTGTCCGAAGAGTTGGGGGGCCCTTTGAATTGTGAAAACAATATGCCCACCCCAATCCCTGAGCAGGAGGCTGAGTGCCTAGAGGATGCCAGGCTCTCCCCAGAGAAGAGCATCCAGCTTACCTCTGCCAACCCCGCCATCTCCTCCACCCCGTACCAGTGCACCGTGTGCCAGTCTGAGTACAACAACTTGCATGGCCTGCTCACCCATTATGGGAAGAAGCATCCTGGCATGAAAGTGAAGGCTGCCGACTTTGCCCAGGACATCGACATCAACCCAGGTGCTGTGTACAAATGCAGGCATTGCCCCTACATCAACACCCGCATTCACGGCGTCCTGACCCACTACCAGAAGAGACACCCATCCGTCAAGGTGACCGCTGAGGACTTTGTGCACGACGTGGAGCAGTCTGTGGACCTGTCCCAGAATGACGTGGAGGAGACGAGCAGGATTTTCAAGCAAGGGTATGGTGCCTACCGGTGCAAACTGTGTCCCTACACCCATGGCACTTTGGAGAAACTCAAAATCCACTACGAGAAGTACCATAACCAGCCTGAATTTGATGTCTTTTCCCAGTCGCCCCCGAAGCTCCCATTGTCCCTCGAGCCCGAGATAACCACTGAGGTGAGCCCCTCCCAAGTCTTGGTGACCGAGGAGGAGGTGGGAGAGGAGCCGGAATCCACGTCTCACTTCTCTGCCTCACACCTGGTCTCCCACACTGTGTTCCGGTGCCAGCTCTGCAAGTACTTCTGCTCCACGAGGAAGGGGATCGCCAGGCACTACCGCATTAAGCACAACAATGTCCGAGCCCAGCCCGAGGGCAAGAACAACCTCTTCAAGTGCGCCCTGTGTACCTACACCAACCCCATCCGCAAAGGGCTGGCCGCCCACTACCAGAAGCGCCACGACATCGACGCCTATTACACCCACTGCCTGGCCGCCTCCAGGACCATCAGCGACAAGCCCAACAAGGTGATCATCCCGTCCCCGCCCAAGGACGACTCCCCCCAGCTGAGCGAGGAGCTCCGGCGGGCAGTGGAGAAGAAAAAGTGCTCCCTGTGCTCCTTCCAGTCCTTCAGCAAGAAGGGCATCGTGTCCCATTACATGAAGCGTCACCCGGGGGTGTTCCCAAAGAAGCAGCACGCCAGCAAGTTGGGGGGCTACTTCACTGCCGTGTACGCCGACGAGCACGACAAGCCGCTGCTCCTGGAGGAAGAGGAGAGAGGCAGCTTTGAGAAAGCCGAGGTGGAAGGCGAAGCTCAGGAAGTCGAGTGGCTGCCGTTTCGCTGCATCAAGTGCTTCAGGCTCTCGTTCAGCACGGCAGAGCTACTGTGCATGCACTACACCGACCACCACAGCCGGGACCTCAAGAGGGACTTCGTCATTCTGAGCAGCGGCCCCCGCTGGCAGAACTCCACCTACCAGTGCAAGCACTGTGATAGCAAACTGCAAAGCACAGCGGACCTGACCTCACACTTGAACATTCACAATGAGGAATTCCAGAAGCGTGCCAAACGTCAGGAGAGGAGGAAACAGCTTTTGAGCAAGCAGAAATATGCAGATGGTGCTTTTGCAGATTTCAAACAAGAGAGGGTAAGGATATGTTTTGATTTCCCTTCCCCCAGGAGGCCTCTCATCACTGGTGCCCACATGCACTTCTTCGTTGCCAGCCAAACCGCTGCAGGCTTCCTAGTGACTTAGCTTGCCAGAGAGCTCAATGAGTCAATTAAGCATTTCGAGCTTGATTGTTCCCCCATTCTATGCTCACCCCACTCGGCGGTCCCAGTCCACTTCCTCCCTCCCTCTGATTGCTCCCAAGGCTCCCCCAGGGGAGGTATGGGTGGTTTCTGTGTATTTCTTTCTGCCAAGTAGCCTTATCTGAAGCCTAGTTACGGGACAACGCTTGCTTGCTTCCATAAGGCAGTTGTGGGCTGTCTCTTGGTATCAGTAGCACTGCTCAGCCATGTCTTGGTCTCCAGTGTTTGCTACATGAACCTAACATCTCCAGGAGTAGATTTTTTTTTGCAAGAAGGTCATTAATGGCGTAGCTATGCAACGTTTCACCTGCGTAGTTGAAGCTGGTTTGAAAACCAGTTGGCAATGAAGATGAGGCTTCTACACAGAAATCATCTCTGCTCACAAGGTGTCACATACTTGGGTTCCAGAGACTTTGCGTAGTGGGCAGTGTGCTGTGACGCTGATGAATTTGTTATGTAAAAACGCTCACCTACCTATCCTTTGGTTTAACCCACTAATCTGCTTTAAAATGAATATGCTAGTAAGTGACAAGAATAAATGCCAGCTCGGAGGGAGGGCTCAGAGTACTGATGGCTACCACTGTATTTTACCAGCCTTTTGGTCACTTAGAAGAGGTGCCAAAGATCAAGGAGAGGAAAGTGGTGGGCTACAAGTGTAAATTCTGTGTGGAAGTGCACCCGACGCTTCGAGCCATCTGCAACCACCTCCGGAAGCATGTCCAGTACGGCAGCGTCCCGGCCGTGTCTGCCGCCGTGAAGGTGAGAACTCTGAAGGTCTGGATGAACATTCTTGTGTGCCAGCGAGCCCAGTTACTTATTAACGCCACTGCTTCAAGCCACTCACCAGAGAGAGTCTCAGAATGCGGGCATTCCTGAGCTTGGCTTGGCTTGGCTTGTTTTGATTTCTTTGCAGGTTGGACCTTCCTCGGCTTCCCGTTCAAGGGAAGGTTGCATTTCCATCTGGCTTCCACCCACGTGGATAGTTGGGAGACAGAAGGCCCGGGCCCCTCTCTCGGTGCCGGAGGCTGCTGGCCGTCCTTGTGCTCTGCATTTGATGCCGTTAGGTGTTCGCTGGAGCTTTTGAGAGCCGTCAAGTGGGTTCTGTTCTGTCATCTGCTCCTCCCACTGCCTCCCTTCTTCCTATCCTCATCTGGCTGAGGGTGCCCAGTGCCCAGGAGAAGCCGCCTTTTCCTTCTCATCCTGGACAAGTTCAGGAACTTCCGTTCTGTTGCATTTTACATCCTCTGGGGCGTACGAATGATGTTCAATGGAAAACTGAAAGCCTTCAAGTCAGAGTTGACCCTGAGTGTCCGTTGCCCTGGTTTGTCTTCTCCAACCCTCTCTCTTTATGTTGCTGACAAGTGCCTCCCCTCTTTGCCCTGACCTTTAACAGTTTTGAGCACCGTGATCCTCAGAGCAGTCAGTGTTTCCGTTTCTCACCCAGCTGCCGTCCAGGGTGTTGCTAAGCTTTTAACCGTTCTGAGCACAGAAGTTAGTTCAGGGCTTTACACCTTCCCTCTGGGCGAAGGACTGCGTTTCTGTCATCTGCCCTTCTTGCGCTTGCTTCCAGTTCAGTGTTGAGGGAATCGTTCTGCTTTTCCTCATTAAGGACTAAAGCCTTCTGCCTGTGGGCCGAGCAGTACAGCTCACGGGATCGCAGCAGTCAGCTTCTTCCACTCTGCTGTGGTGTGTCCCAGGCTGAGTGCGGGAGTCACACCAGGGAGGGACAGCAGCTCTGCCCATGAAGTGGTAAAAGGGCCAACTAGAAAACTGGATGATGGCAAATCAGGCCAATCCTGAATTTTCTGCATTGATTATATACAACTTTGGATCAAGGGGTGAAGTCATTGGCTATGGGGTGCAGGTGAGAGGAGGGCACAGGGGACGTGAATCTTTGGCTTTACTTGTCAGATGATTCCTCAGAGCTCCTAAATACCAAAACTTGTCCTGCTTTTCTCTTCCTCCCTCTCTCTCTTCTGAGCCATAACTGTAACCCAACTCTATGCCAGTTCGGGTGAATTTTCTTCTTAGGATGGGTGATAAGCGAGTGACCTGTCTTCAAGGGGAAGAACCCCTCACTCTCATTTCCCAGGCAATAGTGAAATTTGTGCAGATATGTTGCCCTAAAAACTCTACCACTGATGAAGACTGGACATCAGATTTGCCCTTCCTGCAGATGGAGCCAGAGAGGCAGGGAGGAAGCTTGGACAGGAAGTGCTGATGAGTTTGGGAGAATGAAGGGAAAGGATGAGAGTTGGGGCAGTGACGATGGATATTTATTTTGTTGGTGGGGCATGTGTGTGTGTGTGGTTCTCTTAGCAGGAGGCTGAAGACCCTTCCCATTTGTTCCTGGATGGATTGGAAGCAGCCAAAGATGCCAGTGGCACCCTGGTGGACCGGGTGGATGGTGAACTCTGCTTGCTTGATGGAATGTTGGAGGATGAAACCCGGCCGGGGGGATACCATTGTAGTCAATGTGACAGAGTCCTGATGTCCATGCAGGGGCTGCGTTCTCATGAGAGGAGCCATCTGGCCCTGGCCATGTTTACCCGCGAGGACAAGTACAGCTGCCAGTATTGCTCCTTTGTTTCTGCTTTCAGGCACAAGTAAGTGCTATTGGGTGGTTGCACTTGGTAATTGGGAGGAAGTGTCACGTAGAAAGGAGAGGATGTGAGCTGGGGCAATGACACTGGATATTTATTATTATTATGTTCGTGAGGCGTGTGTGTGTATGTGTGTGTGTGTGTCTGTCTGTCTGTCTCAACAGGAGGCAGGTGTCAAATAGAAGGCCGCTAAGCTACAGCTGGTGAAGCTTGGAGGAGTCAAAAGGCCCCAATTACGGTTCATACAGGCTGTTAAATTTGAACTATGTTATCTAGCGCCTCATCACCTCATCTGTAAAAGGGGACCACAAACAGTAGATTATTTGGATGACGTTCCAAAACAAACAAATGGGTTGCTGTTGAGTCAAATGCCGTTACACTTGGCAAATACAGGCGTTTTGTAAATGAGGATGGTAGGCATTGTGAGGATCGATGCAGGGGAGGTCCAGGGTACAGATGAGTTTACTGATTGTCTGTCACACATCATCATTTGAGGAAGTAAGGTTCCATTTGGGAAACTGAATTACGAATAAGGTAAGATTAGGACTGTTAGCCCATGTGAGCAAGCAATCATTGCTTGTTAGTTTGAAAAAGACCATGAAAGGTAAGAAAGTCTGTGGATGCCGGAGAGTTGCTTGAAGTACAGGGAGAGGTGTTGGCCCCTTTGGAATTGTCAGTTCGGGGTGTGGGATAGGTATGCAAGGCTTTGGGGGAGTGAGGTGATAGGGTAGTTTTGAAAACAACCTTTTATTGCCTTTTTCTTCCAGCTGTACAAAGGAGATAAATATTCAGTGATGTATTCTGACATTCTTGGAAAGAGGGTGATTGATTGTCAGACTGACAGGTTGTTTACGTTTATGATAATTGGGAATAAATGAAGGACTGTTCACTTCTCAAAAAAGATCCAGGGCAAGTTAGTGGCTGTTGAAAGGCAGGAGGAGGCAGTGTTTCTACGGAGGTTAGGCTTCGTTGTAAACTCTTCATTTATACGGAGCCTAATCATCTCATCTTTGTCGTCAGACCCATGCACCAGCATAAAACTTAGGTGGTTCTCTTCCATTCGGTAACTGTTTGTGGAACAGCTTCTATCACGTTGTCGGACACACGGTAGAACCTCAATAAATAGTTGTGAATTAAGGAACGTAGCCTGTGCCAGGCACGGTGCTAGAAGATGTGGAGGAATCTAAAGATGAATGGGAATGATCTATGATCTAAGAGAATTTAGGGTATAGTCGTGGTATAAAACAAGAACACAAATGACTTGGCAAAATATGGTATGTATCTTTAAGAGTATCAATAAAAATAATCATAAAGTTTCAAAGAAGGGAAGTGTTACGTCCTCTTTGGAAAAGTCAGGAAGGTCTTATAGAATGGGGAGCATTTGAGTCAAGTCTCCAAGTAGGAAGATGATGTTGCTGCTGGCTGCTGTCAGGTCAGCCCTTAATTCAAGTGACTCCGTCACAATGGGAGAGAACACTGGTGGTCTTGGGCCAGCCCTGTGATTGGCTGTGGCTTGGCCCGTCATTATCTGTAGTTCTCACAGGCTGGAACTAGATCTCAGGCTCTCCGAGTCAGCTTTCGTCGGGAAGCTCACCGAAGCCCGTCCTGCATCCTGACAACACGCAGGCCCTCTGTCGGCGTGGGGACAGTGCGTGAGGTGCAGTCGCTGGGAGTGGGACCTGGATGTCCCACCTGGGAAGTGAGAGTTCTGCCACTGAGGCCACAGTTTAGAAAGGACATAAGGGGTGGAGAGGAACAGGGAAGAACAAAAGCCTGAGGAGAGTTGGAGGCTCATTTGGGGACAGGCTGATGCAGTTTTTACTAAACCTTAAGTTAGTTACCTGTGAAGAATCATGAAAGAAAAAGTCTGAATACTTAAGTTGATACCATATTTGGAGACTTTGAATGCCAGGAATTAGGGCTTTATAATCAATATTGACGAAAGGATGACTCTGATGAGTAAAATGATTGCTAACATGTTTTGACCCTTATTATGTGCCAGGTTCTGTGCTAAGCACCTTAAAGTATTAAGTATCTCATTTTTGGGTCAAAACATCCTTATTAGGTATAGTCTCATGATCTCCATTCTATGGATAAGAAAATGAAGTTTGGAAAGGTTAGGTAACTTTCCCAAGGTTACGTAGCTTATAGGTGATAGTGGGGATTGTAACTGAGGCAGTCTGACTCCTTAGCCTGTGCTTTTGAGTTGAAAACAGGAGGAGAGAGGTGCAATCAGGACACAGTTATAGTGGCTGATCAGAGAAGTTAGGATGGGACTTTGGGAATGGTTGGATGAATCAAGGTCTGCCTAATTTGGAGAAATTGATTTAGTATAGGGAATGAGGGATGAAATAGACTACAGATTTGGAGTCTGGTTGACTGGGAGAATGGTAGTGCCATTTATAGAAACAAGGAAATGAAGAAGAAAATTTGTTTGAGAGGAAAAAATGGTGGGTTTGTTTAAGGCTGATCGAGTCGAAGATAATAGCATGGATGTCCCTGAGGACATCCAGAGGGAGTTGTCCACAGGCAGTTGAAAACGCTGCTTTGGAGTGCAGGAGGGAGTTCAGCGGTCAGTGGTCAGTAGTAGCCTTCTCATCTGAGTCATCAGCAATGAGATTTAGTTCTCTGAGGTACTGATACCAGAGGCGGATGACCCAGAAAGGAAGGTAAGCACAGGCATACTTGTGCTTACTTATAATCTGTAGCAAAGTGTGACATGTTTTTCACGACAGATTAGTAAGTAAACACAGGTAAGCCTATGCTGACCTTGCTTATCGATGGTGCTCTGTACCTGTCGGGAGCTAAATGTGAATAGAGGCTTTACTTCTATAGGAAGGTGCTGTGGGGTTAGGATAGAGACACATGGCAGCCGTACCTAGAAGCAGAATCTTTGAAAAGATAAAAAGAATGTGAAATTGTTCACTACAAATCAGTGAGTAAGCAGCAGTAAGACTATGCTTATCTTGCTTATTGAGTAATCTGACAATGACTGATACAAACTACAACTTCCTACCCCTTGTTTGATAGATTTATTATTTATTAGACTCATAATTATTGTGTAACGCTGCGGGTTCATAATTACTAATAACTTCCTTTTAAGTTGCTTCTGTGAAGGCTGATTTACAGCAAACACGGTTGTGTTTATCAGAGGGATGGGGAGCCGTTTCGAGGGCATGAGGTTTAGGATGTTCTTGAATGTCATTAAATCTTTTTGTGCCTCCATATTTTTGTAGATGTTAGGAACAAGAGAGCCCACTGCAAGTAAGTCATTCTCTTTGAAACCTCCCTTCCTCACTGTAGTGTGCACAATGAAAGCTGTAAGGGGTGGGGGATGGTGAGCCATTTGTAAATGCAGTGTTTTTCTGAATTCCTATTCTTTCTTTTTTGGAATAAGTTAAAGAATTAATTGGAATGTAGCCCTCGCTTACTCAGTGGGCCGCCTGAATTCACCTCTTACTTTTTCTTTGGATGGTCCTTTCCAGTTACTAGGAGGTTGTGTTCTGGAGAAGGGATTATGGGTCTACTGTGCCCTGTCACCACTACCATATCTCAACCCAAAAAGATCCCTTGATCTCATCTGTTAGCATCCCCTCTTTTTGGAGTAGGTACAACTCTTGCCAGTGTTTTTAATTTCTATTTTCATTTATTATTATTGTGTGTGTGTGAGAGAGGGTGATCATTGGGAGAGTCACAGATGACTTTAACAGCTTCTAGTTGGGATTCCTGGAGAAGGGCAATAAGGCAATGTGCAGTTTTTGATCCTGTTATTCTCTTGTTTTTTTTTTTGCCCTCTGCTTCCAGTTTGGATCGCCATATGCAAACCCACCACGGACACCATAAACCATTCCGATGCAAACTCTGCTCCTTCAAGTCCTCCTATAACAGCCGGCTGAAAACGCATATACTCAAAGCTCATGCTGGTGAGTGGGTGTGGTGGTGCATACGTTCTTAGCACCCTGTGAGTTTGAACCCTAATGGTCTTTATTGGGTAAAATTGTTTACTATGAGCTCATGCTCTACAAATGAAGTAAGAAGTTATTCCTGAGCTGACTCTCTGTTTAGTACATTTTAACCTAATAAAGGAGATCACCAGAAGCCAAAACAGTAGACAGCCCATGTCATGCTGTTAGAATTCGGCTGTTTGATTTTTTAAAGAAATTTCTAAATTACCTATCCTTTCTAATGGAAATGCAGAGATTTCTTTATCCACTAGTAAGATTCCTAATTAAACTGAAGTTACAATCTCAAGGAGGTGCTAAAAGGACAATGAAACTCAAGATGTGAGAGATTTCTCACATGACTGCCTGCCCTTAGATACATTTTCTTGGAGCAGATAAGAGATGACTTTGGGTCATGAATGGCCAGGAGCTATGCTGATCTCTGTTGTTCCATCTTAGCGCTCACCTTATAAACGCTGTTTATATACCAGGCTCTGCATTGAAACCAAAACCAAACCCATTGCCATTGAGTCAGTCCCAGCACCTGGTGACCTCATGTGTTACCGAGTAGAACCGTTTCCTAGGGTTTTCTTGACTATAATCTTAAGGAAAACCAGGGCTTTCTTGTGCTGTGACGCTGGTTGGGTTTAAACCACCAACCTTGAGTTTAGTAGTCGAGCACAAACTATTTGCACCACCTAGGACCTGAAGTATGGAATATTCATCATCTTACTTAATGTAGCCATGACAGTCCTGGGAAGTAATGATTATTACTATCATCCTAACTTTCAGATGAAATACAGGGACTTAGAATTAAATGACCTACTCAAGGCTACATAGCTCCTTTATTAAGAATTTGACTTTAGAACAAAAACCCACATCCTTTTGGTTGACAATATACTGTCTTCTTTCTTTTCTCTTCTTCTTTGCATATGGTAAAGAGCTCTGGTGGTGTAGGTGTTAAGGCATTTGGCTGCTGATCAAAAGGTTAGTAGTTTGAACCCACCAGTCATTCCATGGAAGAAAAGTGGGGCAGTCTGCTTCTATAAAGATGTATAGCCTTGGAACCCAGTGCGTGGCTCCACGAGTCACAGTCGACACAAATGGCAGTGAGTTTGGTTTTTGGTTGCATATGGCAAAGGATGCATGATAACCTGTTCTCTTGCCCATGGATAGCTACTCAGAGGTAAGCCAGGAGAAGAATAAGGCATGAGGTAGGAAAGGCAGTGGGGGGTGGCTTGGGAGCCTCCCCATGATGCTCTTAGTCACTTTCAGAAGCCTGTTTCAGCAGCAGCCTTGGCCATCTTAAAGGTCTGGACCACTGAGAGGAACTTAGGTCAAGCTGAAAGGGAAATTAGGAGAAAAGGCTCAGAACACCTAGTTACACTATCAGAGGTCCTTCCGGAAATCAGATCTCCCCCCTAAGTTTCCTCCGCAGGGGTATTTCCCACCAAGATTCTCCTGTCTCATACGCTAGCTTCTCTGTGTGTTGCACCCTCATTTTAACAGCATTATGAAAATGGCACAGAACCTGGGTTCTTCCCTTTTGCCATCTCTGGAAACGTGGTCTTCTCTTAACCTGCCTCGTAAGTGGGGGGTCCTGTTGAACTGGGTATATTCTCTTAGTGAAATTACCAAAGCCTGCCCAGCTGCTCCCAAACCCCACTTGGAATGGGACAGGAACATAGCTCTATAGGCTTTCCTCTTTTCTGTTTGTATTTTTATATCTCCAGGGAAATTCTGCTGAAGGATATGGAGGGGGTGGCTTCAGGGTTCAAACCCCTCTTTTCTAACTTGTGTATATTGTAAATTATTCAGCTGGGACACCATCCTGGTCAGTTTTTCCCATAGGCTTCAGCCTTGTCAGAAGCACTTTTACCAGTGGAGTTGACTAAATGATTTGGCCTGTGGGAAGGACTTTGTTAGAACACCAGAGGCTGCACGTGGACTCCAGGGCACTGAGCTTGAGTTTATGTTCTTAGAGTGACTGAGCATACTGGCGTCCTGCGCTTTCTGGCTGGTGAGAAGGAAGCATCCAGTGAGAGAGAGTGGGAGTCACACAAAATCAGTTCTCTACACAACCTGGAATCTTGGTCTCCATGGACATGGCTCTTACCCAGTAAGAGTGGCTTGGCTAGGCAACAGCTTGTCTTTTTCTAAAAGACTCTTGATTAGCCTTGTCTGTTCTAACTAAAAAAAAAACCAAACTCACTGCTATTGAGTTGGATCTGACTCATAGCGATCCCCCCTTGGGTTTCTGAGGCGGTATCACTATAGAAGTAGATTGCCCAACCTTCCTTCCAAGGAGTGGCTGGTGCGTTTGAACTGCCAGCCTTCTGGTTGGCAGTCAGATGCCTTAGGCAGTATGCCACCAGAGCTCCTAGTCTATTCTAGATGGATTATTTTATTTTAAAGATTCAAAAGTACTACGATCTAACCAAATAATCTGCGTCTGAATTCTTTCTCAGGTTTTGCTACTCACAGCCACCTAAGAAGGTTCATGCAGCCAAGTTTACATTCAAAAAATGAAAACCAGAGAAAGGATAGCAGGTGGTGGTGGTGGTGCCGTGGAGTTGGCTCTGACTCAGTGAGACCTTATGTAAACAGAACGAAACGTTACCTGGTCCTGCGTGCCATCTTCACGGTCTTTGATAGGTTTGAACCCATTGTTGCAGCTGTTCTGTCAGTTCATCTCGTTGAGGGTTTCTCTCGTTTTCATTGACCTACTTCATCAACACGATGTTGTTTTCTAGTGACTGGTCTTTCCTCATGATGTACCCCAAGTCAGTGAGCTGAAGTCTTGCCAACCTTGCTTCTAAGGAGCATTCTTGTATTGCTTCTAAGACTGGCTTGTGGGTTCTTCTGACCCTCCACGGTATATTCAGTACTCCTCACCAACACCACAATTCAAATGCATCCGGTGGTGGTGGAAATACCACTGTTGACTGCCCAACATTGTACTGCAACTACAATGAGATGGTTGGGAGTATGGCTCCTCTGTTCTGTCTTAATCTGTAGAATGTTATGTAGTTCAGGGTTTTCCGTAGGTTTTTTTTCCCCCCAGGGCTTTCTTGGCCAGGCAAGTTCTGGGTGTCATCAGTGGTGAGTAGGGGGCTTAATGCAGAACTTGAGAGGCTGGGCTTACTTCACATGTGAACCATTTAGTGATGTGTTCAGGGTGGGAGGCAGTACCAGTTTCAGCTGGTGAACAGCAAGGTCAGAGATTCAACTTCTGATTCCTGTAGTTTTGTTTCAGTCTGTAAACCACCAGTTCTGATCTCCTTTGAGTTTCACTGGTACATGAAAACTTTCTCTCTGAAGAGTCATCCTCTCTTCTCCTCTTTTTCCTTTCTTCTCTGAGTTTTAGATTTAACCTTAAAAATAAATTTTTAAAAGTAAACATAAGAAATGAGAGAAGAAATATAGTCAGTCATCCATAGTCTTGTCATTTAAAGACTACAGTTGTTAACATTTGGTATATTTCTTTTTAACATCGGGATTATAATTTGAAATACACCTTTTCTATGTATTTATAATTTTCCATGTTAGAACAGACTCTTCAAGAATTAATTTTAATGCAGTGATAGTTCATCAGAAGGGTATGCCCACATCTACTTAATCATTTCCTATGGTTGGGAACTTAGGTTATGTCATGCATTTTTCAAGCATAAATAATGCATATTTATAAATAAAACTTTCTGTGTACTAAAGGATATTTTCTTGTCAGAAGTAGAATGATTGAGTCCAAGTCATGAACATAAGTTATTGTTACATAGAGCAGAACTGATTTCTGAATGACCATAGCAGCGTCTGTCTGTCCAACAACACCTACATGCCTGTATCACAAAATGTCATTAATTTAAGCCGACTCTGGTAAAGGTAGGTCACACCCTCACTTCATTTGGTCACTGTGATCTGTATTTCACTGCTACGAACAAAAACTGGGAGAAAACAAAACAAAACCCCTAATTTTTACTTAACTCTTTATTGAAGACTATTGGGGATGCACACACAGGTTTGCACATACGCACCTTTCCTCGTCAGCTGGGGAAGTGATATATTTTTTACTACCTCTGTACTATTGGTTAGCTGGGGAAGTGATGCTTTGTGCTGAGGTTTGAGAGCTTGTCCAAAATAAAAATCAGAGGATGAGTGAGGTGGAAGTGAAGAGGGGGAGTAGCACGACAGAGCTCCCACTGAGTGACTCCGTGCTTGACGGACCCTTGGGAATGAGAATTGAGCAGGTTACTTTTTGCAGATGATAAAAAGGCAACCTTGTACTAAAATTGGCAGGGTCATTTCTAAGTATGGAGGCAGGGAAAGAGGTAGAGAAAACTTACGTGAAGAAAGTATTATAGACATCTGAATTCCACTCCCTGTTGGGGAATCAAGCTACAGCCTCACCCATAAGTAGAGCGTGAAGTGAAAAGGGACCAGATGTTGATTGTGGTGCTGACTGAAAGGCCTTAATCCCAAGGAGGAGCACTGTGGTTGTGGGAACAGGTGAGTATTATCTGTGATGGTTCCTAGGCCTAGAAGCATGGGCAGAACATCCACACTCTCTGGGGCACAAGTGAATGAATTAACCATGTTATTTTGTTCTCCACTCCCCCACCCCACCTCACCTTTTACCTCTTCCCCCCTTTTCCTGCCCTGTTCCTCACCATCACCTTCTTGCAGGTGAACATGCGTACAAGTGTTCTTGGTGCTCGTTTTCCACCATGACCATCAGCCAGTTGAAGGAACACTCCCTCAAGGTCCACGGGAAAGCCCTGACCCTCCCTAGACCGCGAATCGTCAGTCTCCTGTCCTCACACTCCCACCACTCCTCTCAGAAAGCTGCCCCGGGTGAAGAGGTGGAAGACTCCAATGGTAAAAATGGGCTCCTGAGTCAGAAGTCACCTCCTGGGGCTGCGGTGGGCTGGGGTTTAAGGGGAAGGAACTTACTAATTCTTTCTTGTCTGAGACTCGTCCACAAAAAACGTGGTTGTTCAAATGAAGGAAGAAATGTGGGCAGGTGGACAGCATGCAAGTTGGAGTTGGAAGGTGAATGCGGTGATAGTCTGTTGTGTGGCCAAACGTGTCTATACTTGTGTTAACGTGCTCAGCTGCTGACAGAAAGGTTAGAGGTGTTTTCTAAGAGGTACCTGGGGAAAAAAGGCCTGATGATGTGCTTCTGAGAATCAGCCATTGGAAACTATGGAGCACAGTTCTGCTCTGACACACGTAGGGTTACCATGAGTCAAGATTGAGCTGATGGCAGTTGATTTGGTTTGTTGATGTACCTGTGTGACATACGAGCATAGACTGGCATAGCTTGTGGGAAGAGTACGTGGTATGTGATGGATTAGTTGGACATTGCCACTATGGTTTCAAGAAAGAAAACAAAAGGAATACTGTGTTGATTTATTTCTTTACCTGTATCCTATCTTGTTCTGAAAAGTACACATGTGAAGTATTTGGGGTGCTGGCTCTGTAAGTTAACCTCACACAGTTCAGAGTTAGGAATGGAAAGGGTGAATGAGTGAGGAAAGCGGGTCGGATTGTGTCGTGTGGTGTCTTTTGGGTAACATAGTGCTTTCTTATAGATGAAGGATGTGGAGGAAGCATCAGTTGGGTGGACCGTTGAACTGCTCAGTCTTGGGGCTGTGTGGTTAGATGCTTAGGGAGGACATCTGCAGAATCTGAAATGAGTAGAAGGCTTTACAGCAGCTCTGTATGCTTGAATCCTCAGCAGCACTGGGAAGCCTTTGTGTCGCCCTGGGTTGACTACTTCCTCGGCCAGGGAACGGCCTGTCTCTCAACAGGTACTCTTAGATTTTGGGGAGGAATTTAAAACCCATTGCCATTGAATACATTGATTCCATAGGGTTTCCAAGGCTGTAGATCTTTACAGGATCAGACTGCCTCATCTTTCTCCCACAGAGTGGCTGGTGGGTTCAAACTGCCAACCTTTTGGTTAGCAGCCGAATGCTCTAACCACTGCACCATCAGAGCTCCTTTGGGAGGACCGTAGTGAATTGGCAAGGAAGTTCATAGATCCTTTGTAACAAAGACCTGGATTTGAATACTTGTGTTTCTCTGGGTACCTACTTCCCTACATCCAAATGTAAAATGGGATAACCATATTTCTCGCAACAGATTATTGTGAAAGATGAATGAGAAAAGGTATATGTGTGAAATGCCTGATACAACATGAGACACACAATAGATAAATTTAGTAAGTGGTAGCTTTATCCCTGTGATTTTCTTCTTTTGGCTACAATTTTGGCCTTCAGGACCACATGTGACAAAAAAATTTTGGGGATATTTAAAAGTTTAAGAAGAGATAACTGTAGGTTCTGAAAATCTGAAGATCCCAGCTAGTCAGCATGGTCTAATTATCAGATTATCAGACAATAAATAATCTATTCATAGAGTCTGTAAGCTGGTACCTAGGAGGACATGGAAAGCTAAGTCCTGAGGTTAAACTGCCTCTATGGAGTTATAGAACCAGGTAGCCTTTCCTCTGCAAAGTGTCATTTCTTCCTGGCTTTCTGGTCTTGAAGGATATCTGTTTAACAAAGAAAGCTAGTTACCATGGCTGTGACTTGCAGTGAATGTAGCAGCTCACTGTCTTCTTGGCTGTCATGTTGTAGTAATTTGAAATGTGGGAGAAAGCCTTTATTTTTCCCTCCAGAAAAGCTGTCTCATACCTATTAGTGGGATGAGTGTAAGGGCCAGAACATGTCCCCTTCTCACCTTGGAATTCTGTTCACTGGGCAAGATTTGTATCTTGAGGGCAAAATGAAATTTGACCCCAACTGTAAGATCTTTATGAACAAGACTATTAATTAAGACTTTCACCTGAAGTGGAGCTAAACCCGGGAAGCCTTTGGGGTGAAATGGATTCAGCCAAACACCTTTTCCAGCCAAGGCTTTTCCTGGGATATTCCTCTCCATGTCGTATTCCTCTCCATGTCATACCTTCTTTTTCTTGTGTCCTTCTGCCTTGAAAGATGGGTCTCAGTCTTAGCTCATGAGAATCCCACACATCGCTCACTGCTTGGATCCCCTTCCTCTGGCTGACTGCTAAGAAGAGTTCGGTAGACTTCATTACCCTACCTCTGCCGAGACCTGCACTATGCACAGAAGAATCAGAAATGAATACAGTACCGGCAGTCTCTGGGTTGCTAACGTCCAGTACATACAGGATGTCCATTATGTATAACCCCTAGTTACAAACCAACCCAACCCCCAAAAGCTTTTATCTTAAAAATTTGAGATACATACAGTAATTCGTAATAACAAATGAGTGCTACTTTGTGATGGGCATCAAAACATTGTAGTTTTATTCCTGTATTATTATGTTAAAGATGTTTTAGTGTATCTGAATATTTTAGTGGTTCCATGCATGGAAAGAAACACTATATACTGTATACTGAAACAAACATGACTGACTAATGTTAGTCAGGATCCCTGTACCTAACTGTTCCTAATTACATGGTCGACTTAAACAGACTTAGGACCAGAACTCGTTAATAATGCAGTGACTACCTGCACCATCAGGTGCCTCAGGGAGCTTAAAATCGAATGTTTGGAAGATCAGCACCCACTTTGGAACTAACCACAACCCCAAGCCTGGGCCCTAACCTTTGGGGGGAAGTTCATATTCTTGGAAACTGCATTGGGTTTGAATCTTGCAGGGGTGGGGTTGGGGGTTGCAGAAGCATAAAAATATGATATCCGTGTTTCCGTGTGTTACAGGCCTACCTTTGTGCAGCTGTAGGAAGATAATTTGAAATGTGTTTTTGTTTTTTTCCCTTCTAAGGAAAGCAAATACTTAAAAAAACTTAACTGCCATCGAGTTGGATACGACTCACAGCGACCCCTCCTTGAGTTTCTGAGGCGATATCCCTATGGAAGTAGATTGCCCAATCTTCCTTCCGAGGAGTGGCTGGTGGGTTTGAACCAGCAGCCTTCTGGTTAGCAGTCAAATGTGTTAGGCACTAAGCCACCAGAACACATGGTGTGGGTGAGAGGTCCCTTGGTGGGAACCACTTAGGGAGGTCTACACAGAAGTCACTGGGCCTGTGCTGTTTATAATGTATATAAACAGCCTATGCTGAGAAGCCCTCCAGGTGACTTAAAGGGATCCAAGTTGTCTGCTAACCTCCGAGTTGCAGTTCGAACCCACCCAAGGCTTCATAGAAGCTTGGCTGGCGATCTGCTTACAGCTAAGAGAACCCTGTGGGGCAGTCCTAGTCTGTAATACATAGGGTCACCATGAATCGAAATTGGCCTGACGACAATGGGTTAAGAGGTCCTCAGTCATTAGTTTAATTGGATGACAAAAAAGATGATTAGAAGGTGGAAGTAAGCAGAAGGAAAGTCTTCAAATGAACTGTTTTATAAATGGATAATAGTAATTTCCTCAAATACGCTTAATGGGTTTTACGTAGTTTTGGAATGGAGACATTGATGCCTGTGCATGAATGGGGGGCGGTGGGTAGGGGGCAAGCTAGGAACAGTCTGTGCTTGGGAGCTGGGTGATGGATTCCTAGGAACGGCTAAGTCCAGGCCATGAAAAAAACAGCTGTGGGGCTACACAGTAGCCTGTAAATCACGCCTTGAATAGTGGTTGAGACACACATGTGAAATCCAATTGCACATTTTAATAGGGAGAAGCTGTGGGGCTATTGGCTCTCGGTTAAGGTTTCCCACACTGCAGATGCCAGGACACTGTGAACACAAGAAACAAAAATGTGTTGCAGGCCTAGGGGGAGCAGAGATCCATAAAACCAGGAAAATCACCAGTGTGTCCGAGGCTTTCTGATTCCCTGGTGAGGGATGTGAATAAAACGAGTTGACACGCTCAGTGCTGTTTGCAGTGGTCAAACGCTTGCCGTCTGCAGAGCAAGCCAGTTTCTCTAGCAGAGGGCAGTGCCTGGAAAAGGAGCTTCTTGGAAAGCTCCCCTCCCTCCCAGCCAGGAGGAAGCACTAGGAGCAGAGCAGCTGAGGAGGCACAAACGAGAAGGTGGAGGGAGCTTCCCCCAGCTGCCCGGCCACACACCTGTCCTCTGCCTGAAGGGAGCTCTTGGGCTCTGGGCTGTCAGTCTTGACGTGTTTCGCCAGCGAGCCATTCCTCTGTATATTCTTCATGATCGGTTTTGAAAAGAAAAGCAATGACTGTGTGGTATTGGTTTTGTGCATAGCGTAATGGGAAATGACATGGAATTGCTATTCTAAACAATGCATTAAGGGGGAACAATAAGGTTGTCAACAAAGGGAAGTGCTCTGCTGTGTTTGTGTTTACTGGTCCCTTCTCCTGCCGTGTAAAAGACAGGACTGAGTCTTACTCTTCTTTTAAAAAAATTTTTTTTAAGTCCTCTGCTTTCAGTATAGAAAAATACACGCACAGACATACACGCACACATCAGTGAAATAACAAAGAAACTAGGACAGTGTAGTTTAGCTATGAGATTTGTTTAGGTCTGAGAAGCTGCACAATGCATGGGTAATGATACGTGATTTAAAATTCAGCTATATCCTTTATAAGACGCCAGGATGATGGTGACAGTCCATCATTTTCCTCCCGTGACTTTCCCCCAAAGAATAAATTATTTTATTTCTTCTGTCTATCCAGTTATGCTGTATGGAATTGCCTGCTTTAGAAAATAACCACCATGGTGTGTTTAAAACAAACCCGAAAGTCAGACACTAAAACCATGTGCAAAAGGAATAAGGTGAATGAGGGTGACATAGTTTTGTCTTCCAACCAGTCTTTGGTGGCTTAGGGTAAATGAAAAAAGACCTCTTGGCCACAGTCCCTCTCCCTTTATAATACAGATCTTGACGTGGTCCACCTGACAGGGAAGTCTTTAATATTCTGG